TCGACAGAGAAACTGGGACAAGAGCAGCTGTCCAGAGCCTGTGGTCATTACTGCGTAGGATGTCCTACATATTCTTGGGCTGAACAGACTGAATAGAGAGGAAACAGCTGCTAATATCAGGCTATTTTTTTTCTTTTTTTGCTTAAAGCCACCTCAAGCCTCAATTTAATCCTCAGATTCATAACCTTTTGGAACAGCACTAGGTAAATTCTCTACAAGCTGGTCCTCTGAACTGAAATGGCCCTGCAAAAAGGCCTACTTTTGCTCACATTTACAGACTTCAGCATTTAYGGGCTTCAACACAAGACATTTCCTCCACTGAGGGAAATATTATTTTGATTAAAACAAAGCTTGACAGTCTGTGTGGCTTTATAGCCTCTAGAACAGGGAAACATGCTGGCTTTTCCAGGTGCCCTGACCTTACAATATCCACCTCGGTATCTTCACTGTGCCTTATCCTCACAACTCCCTCCTTCCAGATGAAGGACAGCAGCCAGACCAAACTCATAGAGGAAGATGAGTGCAGAGGAATGAACACAGCATCCTAGAGTCCTCATCTGCACCTTCCTCACTGCTTTATAGCCTGGGAATCAGTTCCTCAACGTCTAGTTTGGAGCAGGTGGATCAGTGTGAAGGCAACTGAGCAGAGGGACCGAATGACAGACATAGAGAAAAATAAAATTCTCCTGACTTTTCCCTTGCAATGACATGAAGGTGGAAGGGAAGGAAGGGAATCAACAGTGTCCACAAAAGACTCAGTGTTAACATCTGCTTYTGGGAGCAGATCATATGAGAAAGGAGTGGACCAAGATATCCCAAAGCAGAGAGCTTGGAAGGAAGAGGGAAAAGAGCAGAGTAGTCCAAGAGAGGAGTAGGGGAATTAGGAAGGTCAGTCCTTGCCCAGAGAGGGAAGGCCTGGAGACAAACACAAGCCTGGGAGAACGTGGAGACCTAAGATATATCTGGGAGGTTCATGCAGCATCACAGCCAAGGCAGCAGCTCKCAGCTCTGCCAAGTTACTGCAGTGGCCAAGTCCCATTTTCTGCATATGCCCCAACCTCCCTCTGCACAGCGAAGTCGATAAACTCCTCCTCCTCCTCTCCCATCTTACAGGATTTTGTGTGAACAAAYGCTCAGGAGGATACTGGAGACACCGGGAAGCTCATTAGGGGAGGGGGGGAAGCCAAGTGCCAAGCAAAATGTCGGGATGGGGTCTTGCACTGCACTGAGCTGTAGGAGGTGAGGACATAACCCGTCTGCTCTCCAAGGAACTAAGTTCTGTTGCTCAGCACGGAAGGTAGGGGAAGAGGGTGGTGATGTCCAGGTCCTATATAATTTTGCCAGAAGAAATCACACAGCAGGGGGAAAGGTAGGGCATCCATGAAAGAGAGAMCAGTCCCAGTTGGCAGCAGAGGACCTTTCAAAGCCTGGAAGAGCCCCATTCCTGGGGATCCATGCAGGGCACATATTTGCCTCCCACGCTGCCCAACTTCCAGCATGGAGAGGCTCCTCAGCTTTCATCTCTCCGCCGAGCCACCCACAGCCTGCCCTCACCTCCCGCTTCCARGAAGCCTGGCCTTGCTGCCGCCTCTGCCCTAACTTCTCCCCGTCATTTCTTTGCTCTCTCCTCCCCTGCGCCAAGCGAAACCAACGTGAAACTCTGCCAACCCCTCCAGCTTCTCGTGAGCCCCTGCCTCGCCGTCCACCCCCAGCTCCCGGCGCTCCCCCTGCCCCCGGCACCGCTCATGTTCCGGCAGGTTCTTGGTACCGGCTGCTCCCGCTCCCTGCGGCTGGGTCTGGAGTTCACAGCAGTTCTTGGAACTGCRGCTGCTCATGGAAAACACAAGGACGGCGCCTGCCGGACCCAGCAGGAAAGGGCAGTGGAGACTCGGAGGCCACAAACAGTAGCGGGGAATGGCCCCTCTGATGCTTCCGTAAGCAAAAGCACAAGCTTGACAAGAAGAGGGGCAAATGCAAGGAGGGAGCTCAGGAATTCACTCTGCATTCCCTAGAAACCTTTTTTTTTTTTTTTTTTTTTTTTTTTTAAAGTTCCCTAGAAACATATTTCCCTAGAAACCTTTTTTTCCTAGCCTGCATGCTCATGAAAGACATGAGCCAAGGCAGCAGGAGGCTTTAACTTCTTGGGTCAGCAGAGAGAACAACGGAAACAAAAGATGCCTGAAACTGGGGTAACCTTCTCTCCACTCTCACACACTTCCTGGGAATGTTTTACTTATCTGTGTGCTTTCCAGAAACGTCTCTTCTCAGAATCCAGGGCTGTCCGTGGGGCCTGATCGGATATTAACCAAGCCACCCCTCCCCTCCTGTTTGCCCACTTGGCTGCCCATCAGTCCATGACAAAATACCAGGAAGCCAAGTTGGAAACGCGAGTCCACAGCAGCGATGGGCAGAGCCACCCTCGTGCACCTCCATCCAAATCCAGCCGTGCTCTGCAGTCACGGCCACCGGCTAACAGCAGGCAGATGCCCCGCTCCAAACTCTCTTTACCTGGATATTCCAAAGAAACAGAGAGAATCACATGGGAAACCCCTCAAGTCACATCCATCCCTTTGTAGCCCTTCCACAATTGTTTTTTTTTTTCTCCAGATCTAGGCCTGAATCTTGCTCTGACTTTAACTGCTGGTGACCCAGCTAACATGCATGGAGGCCTCATTTCAACATGGGGAGATTAAAAAAGAGACTTCATGGAGCATTTTTAGGGCTACAAAATAAAAACAACAAGATGGAGAGTGGAGATCCGCGAGAACACATTAGGGAAAGTCCATTAAGCTCAGCTGGGAAACACATTTGTGCATGACTTGAAAGAGGAGCTGTTGCTTTCCCTGTCTGCAGCACAGACTTCTAACTTTAAATTCAGATTTCTGCATCTTGCTGGCAGTCACTAGCTCAGAAGCAACATTTTGCATGAGTACACCTCTTCTTTTCTCTTACAAAAAGCCAGGAGAAACTACTAATATAGCCAATCCTGGCCTTTTAGTCAGGAATGACCACTTTCTCCTTGATTTATTTTTCAACAAGAGCAAATCTCCCCTCCTTTTAAAGCATCACAGGCTACAGAGATCTCTGGGCTTGAGTGCGGCTTCTCCTGGCCTCCATGGGCCCTCTCGGCTTTYGTGAGGCCTCCCTGGGCCTCTGTGTGCACRTGGCTCTGGGGGCCCTCCAGGGAAGTTCCTCATCCTGTAATAAAAGGAGGAGCTCTGTGTTGCTGCACRGGGCTGGCTGGTTTTTGAAGACAGATGGCACTTACCTACAGCCTGAGAAGACAACTGTAGTGTAGATACCAGCTCTAGCACCTGGAGGTTTGAAAAGCAGAGCCCTGCAACGCACCTGGGGAAGCTGYGAGATGCTCTGTGTCCTACTGGGAGCCCAGACGTGTTGTTTCTGTGGTGTTTGGTCTGGGAGAAACACACCTGTGCCAAGAGACCGGCGCTTATCGCTCTCCTGTGAGCAGGGCTCCTTAACGTGTTTGCCAGGGCTTGGCTGGAATGAAAGCCTACCCGAGTGTCTCACGCTTTTTAGAACCTTTTTACACTTTGGACACTGCTTTTCTGTTGTATTTTGGAGATGAATCTTGATGCACTCCTGTGCTGCACCAACATGTCTCCAAGCCAGGCTCACAGATCTTCTCCAGTTGGTTTTTAAACACCTGTAGGTAGCTGTGTAACTCTTCATGTATATCACCTTGTATAGCCTCTAGTAACATCCTTCTTACCTTCCCAGGAGTCTGTGGCTGCAAACTTGATACTGGTTGTCACAGTTAGTGGAAAATGGTGCCCTCCTCCTCCTCCATCTGTAAAGTTGGTCTCTGACTGTGGAAGCCTGTAGGTATCTCCCTCGTGTTTACTCACAGTAGAGTTTAAAGGCCTTTTTTTTTTTTTTTTCTTTTTCCTTCCACTTTTCCATGCATTACAGGCTCTTACCCTCATTCCTTGAGCTGTCTCAAGATTTAGGTGTTTCAAATTTGTGTGGGTATCAACTGATGATGTTGTGCATATCACCCACGTTAATGCAGAGCAGGCTATTTCACTGTAGGATTTTCTTGTTCTAGTGAGCACTATGAGTAGCTTTTGTTTAAACTTTAAATTGAAGTTTTTAAATTGAAATTTTGCAAATGCGCTCTTTTGGAAAATCAAAATGCGTTTAGAATAGGCACCCTAGCTTCTGGGTTTGACTAAGGGACAGAGACRTTACAGGTAGCTCACAGCAGACACCCTTTGTTGTCACTACCTGCTCTGTGTACCCGCCTGCCTGCTGGGAAGCCAGACCCCCACTAGGCTGGAGCCTGAGAGCTGCTGTCTCACCAGCCTGAGGCGCAGGAGACTCCTGGAGGCTCCTCTTGCAGTCTCATGATTCCCTCTGTCGTCCATATGGTGCCGAGGCTGTTCCCAAAACGCACTTCGGGGTGCAGGGCAGCGAGGTCTGCGCAGGCTGGGTGCTCCTACTAGGTGGGGGACATGGGGCATTTGTCAGCGGGCTCCAGTCACAYGCTGGCCAAGCAGCCACCCAGCAGCTCCCTGTGCTGCCCGGCGCGTTGCCACTGAGCTCAGAAGATGAAATTCTTGATGCTAATGAATTTTCTCCCACCTGCTCAGGGTGCAGTTGCTGTTTCACCTGCGGTATAAAGAGCTGCTCCAGCACCTGCTCCAAGGGTGCTTTCCCAATAATTAGCAATTTTGTTAGCGTGGGACAGGAGGGTCCCGAGCAGGGCTTGCCTCAGAGAACCTGTTGGGGCAGCACACGTATCTCCTTCCCTAGGTAACACGCACAACGAGGCCGCTCGCTGTTTTGTAAATAAAACACACACAGCCGGTTCAAAAGTGAAAATTGAGCCCAAAGGCGCCTACAATTTGGCTTTGCTTCTAAACAATTCTAGTTGTTTTTAAGGTACAGAACAAAATGAATAAATCCCAGCTGCCCAGCCCCATCACCGCTGTGCGAGTGCTGGAGCTGTTCCGAGCGACTCAAGTCTCTGTGGGCGCTCAAAACGCCGCCACTTCCCGCAGCTCGGGCTCTCCAGGGCCGCTCAGCCGCAGCAGGCGGATCCCCCCGTGCCCAGTGCCGCACAGCAGCGTGGCGGCGTCGCAGGCGGCCAGCGAGGCCAGCGGACCGGCGCCGCGGAGGCCCAGGGAGGCCAGGCAGGCTGCGGAGGGAATGGGAGCGGCGCTCGGCTCCGGAGCCCCTGCAGGGTCCTTCCCTGGGAGCACTTTTTTCCCCACCTTCCATGACTTTCAGTTCAGTAAAACGCTTCTCAAGGGCAATGTTGCCTTCAACACATGTTTTTGAGAATAATTGCAGAGGAAAATGGAAATCTAATTTTCAGAGCCACAACAGGCCTTCTTTGTGGTTATTAATAGAGATCATTTCTTCCTTGTTCCCCTTTAGTTTAGGGAGGATGGTCATCACCCCCAAACATCCTCTCTTGGAGGGGAACACAGCTGCTCTGGGGCAGATCTCCCCCATCCCAACCCTGTGGCTGTATTCAAGTAAAACCCAGAGGCTACAGGTTGTCACTGGGGGGAGACAGAGACTGAGACTAGCGGCTGCAGCACCCACAGTGACACCCTCGAGTGAGCAGCTCCCTGTCCTACCTCCGYKGTCTTGGTCCCAGATCTTCACTTTGCAGTCGTAGGAGGCYGTGGCGATGACGGGGGTCGGAGCCAGGCCCTGGGGAAGGAAGATGCACGAGGCTACGGTTTGGAGGTGCCCTCTGTACTCGCACACTCGGCTCCTCGTCTGCCGCAGGTCCCACAGCTGYAAGGCAATGGCAGCAGGTGGAGTCCAGGTCACTTCCAGACTCCATCGCCGTCACTTGATGACACGGAGCTGATTTACAAAGAAAACAAGGGGTTTTTTTTTTGCTTAAAGTGCACCCTGAGCAAATGGAACCCTTCCATGCTTTCCACAAGAACCTCACAATCCCTGACACTGTTGTGCCTCTGCTTTAATAAGGATGAACATCTGCTGTTACAGAAGACTCAGGAAATAGAGATATGGGTAGAAACAGAGGGGCTCAAGCAGCAGTCTCAGGACCAGCTGAAGTTCCCAGCATGAGCCAATCCCCACGAGCATCCCTCTGGGAACTCTGTTCCATGCCCTGGAGGTCAGAGGAGAGAGGAAGAGCAGAAGAGGAGGAAACGTGGCAGCTGCTGCCCAGCAAACTCACGGTCGCCTCGCAGCCCTCGCCGTTGGAGCCGCCGCTGCCGCTGACGCAGTAGCGCCCGTCCTGGCTCACGTCGCAGCACGTCTGAATGTGCCGCTTGCCCGGGAACGYGTGTGCCACCTGCAGCTCCCGGCTATCCCACATCCTGGAAGCAGAAGAGCGGGGCAGRAGGAAATCACTGCAACAACAGGCATGTTTCCATTTCCCAGACCACGGCCACACGTTTCTACCATGATCCATCAGCCTATTCCCTGAGCTAGAAGCCCTTCTTTGGAGGCCACCGCTAAGATTTACCTGATTGTTTTATCCTCTGACGCCTGGACAACGTAGGGCTCCCCAGGAACCCAGCACAGATGTGTTACCTGCAGAGGGAAGGGATGATTGCCCAGGCTGACGTCCGCCTGCCTTGCAGAACCATAGAGCTCCCCGATCCGTGCTCTCCTTGTGCTGTGTGCATGGAGCAGGATCCATCAGATTGTTTTTTCCGTTTCTTATCAGTGCTGCTCCCTTACTGGGGCTGACAGGTTCAATCTCCACGTGGTCAGTGGGGTTATCAGCACCATTGACACCAACACGGAGTCATTGAGACACCAACATTGAACCAGACCCAGCATGTGGAAACATGGGCACTTGAAGACACCCTGAAGTTCGCTGCTGGGCTGAGGCAAACGGGGACACAGACCCTACCACAAAACTTACTTCCTAAATGGCTCAGCAATGGCCATTAGTAAATTGCCATATGTGCCTTGGTATCTCTGTGCTAGTGGAGGTTGTTTTTTTCCTGCAGAAGAGGATAAGCAGCCTCAAGTTGACATCTCCACAAGTGCTTAGGCATCCATGCAACAGATCCTGGGCTTAGCGTAGTGCCAAGCTCAGGGCAAATCCTCTTTGTGCAGGTTCACATGCAAAGTGACTGAGGAGGCACAGTTGCCTTTATGGCTGGAGGGAACAAGTGGCTCCTACCAGATTCCTGGAGATACCAGCTCTGCCCAGGCGCTCCCCGGTCTCTACGTCCCACTTGCAGATGGTGTTGTCTCGTGAACCTGTGCACAGGCAGGAGGCATCTGCAACCGCAAGTGAATATCCAAAAGTTGTAYGGAAAAATTCAAAAGAAATCACTGTTTTGAGGGGTAGGAGTTGGTTACTCCTCACCTGGGCTCACGGCTAGTCCAGTAACGACCAGGTCATGTCCTGGGAAATGCTGCCTGGGTCCTGAATTCCCATGAAATTCCCACATGATCGCAGTCTTGTCGCGGGATGCGCTGAAGACTCTGTTGGAGTCCGGGGCACAAGTGACCTGCCCAGGACAAGGTAGGAGATGTACCTCAGGCTTTCTGATGGAGCCGGTGGCCCAGGGGGAACAAACAGCAGTCCGGCTGCCGGACCAAAGCTCCAGACATGCATAAACTTGATCAGAAGAGAGCCTGGCCTTCAAAAGGCCCTTTTTGTTCTTACTTGTGGGTCAGGAACAGTAAGGTTGGAATAACAATGTTGAATGGGCCAGACAAATTCTCTCTTGTCCTGAGCTCCATTTTCTCTTGAGATGGTGAATGAACTTCAGAGCCCTAGCACATTTCTCTAATGGGGATGAGCCAGAGGATTAACTCCTAAAGGAAGGGATTACTTAGAGACCACAACCCAGCTGTGTGTTGTYCAGAGACACTAGAACCAGGTCGTGGTTCTGCTACCGGCCCGACCAGGCCTACAGCAAGGTAGGACAGGTTCTGATCACCTCTGCTGTGACCAGAGCCATAGGTGACAGAGGGATTAACCTACTTTCCCCAGAGCAGGTGCAGAAACAGACTGAGCTCCCAGATCCTGGGCTCCAGGAGGTCAGGAATACCTGCTGGACAGCTGTCCAGGCTGTGGGAGAGCTCTTGGCAGCTGCTCACTCCGACAGGCTCACTTCTTTTTTTAAACGGATCCTTTAATTGTTTGGCTTCTTTGAAGATTTTATATTGAAAGAAAAAAAATGGTGGTTGAGAGGTATTTTGACCTGTACTGCCTTTGCAAGTAAGCAGAATAGCCAAGTCATTTCCAGAGCACTACAAGGCGAGCACCTGACTCACTCTAGGCAGTATCATGCTCAAAAGTTCTCCTCTCTCTCAGCATTTTCTTGGGTAATAAGTGTTTCCTTAGTACTTCTGTTCTTGTATTTTTTTCTTGTTTTATTCTACATATTTGCACAAACAGCTAAAAAAAAAGGCACAGATAAACCTTGATAAAATTATTGTGAACAGTGGGATGAATGAAGTATGAGGTCTGAATCTGTGTCCCGAAGTTCTCCTTCCTACTGCAATATTCCCTACCTCCCTCCAACATCTCACTGCACAAAGGACAACAGGTTGTCCTCTGTGACCACAGCATGCATTGTGTGTACCCACTTGAGCATGTTTGCTCTCCAGGGAGTATATTTGGCTTTGTAATCAGGAGGTCGCTGCAAGATAAGGCCCCACTCTCCTTCTGTGATTTTGTCTTCAAGGCTACTGGGTGTGAGGAAAGATTAACATCATCCCTGACCCAAAAACTTGACCAAGCAAATTGTCCTGACTTTCTGCCATGCATTGTCTCAAGTGGAAAGACAAGAACGTGTCCAAGCCTCCTGGAGATGGGTTTGGTTGCGACACAACTACTACTTTTCTAGACAAAGGACCAGTTGGGGCCCTGGAGAAAAAACTAATGAGCTCTGATACCTAGACAGGTTTCTGACTAAACAAGGCTAAGCCCTTTTTGGATAACAAACCATCACTCTTATTCCTGTTTTCCCCGTTTCTGGCAAGTAACAGCATGGAAGACCCAACTGTACTCCAATAACTGGCACTCACCTTGGTGATCTCACGTTCGTGTCCGATGAAGCGCCTCAGAACAGCCCCCGATCTCCAGTTACAGACAACCACGCTCTGCAGAGAGAGCCAGTGAATGGAATCAGCTGCAGCAGAACGGGCCAAAAGAAGTTCTTCACACCTTTTCTAAGGGGCAGTTTGGAGCTGCTGACAAAGAGCACTTGGTAGCCACATRCTCTATTAAATTAGTAGGAAACACATCCTGAACTATTCAAAGAAAAATACTCTTTTCCTTAATAAGTGCATTTTCTAATGCAAAAATACACCATGCAGCATTTCTCTAAGGGTGGATGCACTCTTTAGAGCTGTATTGATAATACAGTAACACCACATTAATGCTGAAAAGTGCATTTAGCCTGTGCAATAACTGCTGATTCTTTATTTATGAACAGCCTTGGTTTAAGTTACACTGAGCCCCCAGGTACAGTCCGTGTCTGAAGAGGGAACAGACTCTTTTAGTTTTCAGGACTTAGGGCAAAATCCCACTTCTCTTTATATTCTTCTTGCCTGTGACTGCATTTTGGCTGCTGTGATAGACGTGCACGTTACCTTATCCTTTCCTCCAGACACACAGAGGTCTGGTTTGAGAGCAGCCACAGCGGTGACAGCATCGGCGTGCRCAGGGCTGCGCTGTGGAACAGCTCCAACAGGTCCCGTCTCCTCCGCAGAGCCATCGGTCCTGCAGCAAGGACAGAGATGGTGGCAGGAGCTGCAAGTCAGGGTGACTTTCCCCTSATGTCCCCCTGTTTACACTGATGTAGAGAAGACAACAATGTTGGTGAGCTAGAGGAYAGTGACATCTGATTTTGGAAAGGCAAAGGAAAGCTGCGCATAGGGAAATGTGTCTCCTGGACCCAGYAAGGTAGAGAAAACAGATTCTCCCTCTCAAGGTGCTAAATATTTAGGTGTTCACTCCATGCCAGAGTAAAGAAWGGAAACAAGCCCACGTTTCAATCTTACTAGTCTCCTGGGATGACTTACATTGAAGCCTGGCTGCTGTCCTGATACAACAACTTTGTGCTTTGGAAAAATCACAGGTCCCCATGGAGGTACCAGTATTTCCCCTTGTATTTATGTGGGCTGACTGCCTCCTCCCACCAGCTGCATCCCATTTTGCCTCCCAACTAATTAATGCCCACACAGCTGTGCCACAGCAAAATCACCAACACTGAGCCTACAGCACTGGCATTCAAGCGTGTGCTCTTCCACTCAGTGGCCTACACCAGTGATCTGCAGAGTTCAGGATAGAGGGATATTTGTTCTGGCTAAGGAGTCACTTTCACAGAAAGCAGTAAGCAAAGATCTATGTTCTGCAGCTGCCMTTGCTGATAAAGGTTATGACACTCTCAGAAGAAGCATGGGTTGGGTATTTCAGCCAGACAGCCACCTCTAGCATTTTTAGGATGCAGATTACTCGGAATAAGCAATCACAGAGCTCACACTTACAACTTGGCTCTTCTACCTGTGGATTTCAATCCTCAGATACTCRCTAGATTGCTATGTTCTATATTCATTAGCTGTTTTCAATTCACTCCTATAGTTGGGTTTACTAAGACTTTCACCTGTATTTGGAGGTGTGGAGGTGGGTTTTGCTCTGCAGTTTCCCCATAGCTCACAGCTGTGACTCCAACAAGCTGCACTGGGCATCACAGTGCCAGCTGCTCAGGCACTCGCTGCTGCGGCACGACCTGGGGTTGGGAGACACAACGTTCCCGGGAACCTGCAGAAGTTTCCGACTGTTGAGCATGCAGGAAAAGTTGCTGGCACTACAACATCAACATTTTAACCTCATTTAGGACAAGAGAAGAAGAAATAAGAAGAAGAGATCCCCAAGCTGAAAACTGATGGGGAATATCTCTGAAAACCCATGGACGCGAGGCTGGGGAATAACTGACCATTATATGGTCTTGTGTTCCATGTTCTTTACAGATCCCAATTTCCAGACTGGCTGAGGCAAACACCTTCAGACTTGGGTTTGTAGGTCCAACCAAGGTACTAGCACTTTAGACCAAGACAAGTCAGTCACAGGCAGCCTGAGCTCAACTCATGCAGCCCGACTTCAGGTCAAGCCTCAGCTGGTCTTAGCTTAGGCCAAGGGATGGTTCGAAACAGCAGCTTGCACGTCCATCCAGGTAGAGAAGAACGCAAGGAGCCATCCCCACATTCCCACCTTTCTGGGAAATCCTCCCGCCCCGCGTGCGATGCCGACCCCAGCTTGGGAAGGCCGCCCATCGCGGCGGCAGCAAAGGAGGGCCATGGCCAACAGGCCCGTTTCGATGACAGAGAACTGCTGGGTACCGTAATTGGATTCCTCTTAGCTCGAGACACCCTAATTGGATTGGCTTCAGTCTGCACTGCGTGTACCAGCATGCCCATCTCCTGGACACAGAGGGGCTTTGCTAATAAAAATAATAATAATAAAAAAAATCAACATGTTGCTTCTAGCAAAGAAGGAGAAAACATTTCAAGGCTCTGCTCACAGAAACCAAGAACCAAACCCTGGAAACAACATGGGAGAGGCACCAGTTTTCCACCAAACATTCCCTTTCTAATTTTACCTGGAGCGCCTTTGGGATTAGCAAGCAGCAATACCCGGCTAATCCCTGCCTGCTCAATCCGTGAGTCCGCACGTTGGGGAGATAGAGAGGAAAATGCATCTCGGGGTTCAGGGGCAGCGCTAGGGTGGTGAATCGCCTCCGGTCACGCCGGGACCGAGCCCGCAAACTGCCTCAGCGCATTAGGAACAAACTGTTATTTTCCCTGACAACTAGGGCACACGGGAAGTTTTGTTCACCTGCAAAATAAGATCTGATGGAAAAGAAGAGCTCCRACAAGGGCTGCGACTCCCCTAGAGTCCCCATTGCTTGTGGCTCTGTGATGGTCCCGGTGCAGTCGAGCCCAGTGGGTTTGTGCAAACCGAGAGGCGCCGGGACCGCTGCCACCCTGAGCTTCCTGCCGCACGAGGACCAACATGGTCCGCGATCCCCCTGGCAGCAGAACTGAGCCCTTCCGCACAAAAGTCACAAATTCAGCCTATTTCGGGAAAATCTGTTATTTCCATCTCCGCAGGGCTGTGCTGGCTGCTCTGCAGGTGCCGCGCGAGGCCCCAGGCGTCCGGGCTCCCTCGGGATGCTCCACAGCGCTCAGCACCAACAGCAACAAGAGCGTTGTGGAAATGCAGCAGGAGGGCGCGAGGCCGCCTCGGGGGGCTCCATGGGGACCCCACGGGGTCATCCCAAAGGGCCAAAACGGGGCACAGCCCCGGTCGCTACCGCCGGGGGGGCTCGTGAGGTGGATCCAGGTGCAGCCCGGTGCTGCGGCCGGGGGAGCCGCCCCGGCCCCCGTGCCCCGTCCCGCCGCGCACTCACCGTGCGCCGGGCCGAGCCCCGCGTCCCGCCCGGCAGCCGCGGGTGTCGCCGCCCTCGCC